TTTAAATTGAAAGTAAATAATATTTTATTAAATTTTAATTTGAAAAAAATTTTAAAACAAAATATTATTCAACAAGTATATAAATATATATATCTACAAGTTACTTGGTACCTGTTGGGTTAAATATCAAATATAGGTTTTGAAGTACTTGGGTAAGTATCAAGTCTAAAAAGTTATACTCAGAAATTTTCAAGTATCAAATATATCTCATATCCGATTTGTACCCAAAATTGCTCACCCCTATAGGTGAGTGCCTGACCAAACCCACTTGAGCCAATTTGAACAAGGCCTCCAAGCCCTCATTGATGACCATTTTCTGCATTAAAGTGGTACCGTGGAGTTCTCTTTTCATTTTTGGACATGGTTTCCATGAATCTCTAACAAGGGTAATTGGGAATATGGTATTAGAACCTTCAGTTTCCAAAACCCTAGTGATCTGTCCGACATTCCACATTCAAAGCTACAATACCATATTAACAATAGGGACACTAATATATACGCCATTTAAAAGTTACATACTCTATTACACACTAATAGAAACTGTCAGCGTGTCATTAAAGTTAATGGAAACCGTTAGTTTTAATAGTAGAAATAATAAAAACCGTCAGTTTTAACTGCATAAGTGACAGAAACCGTTAATTTTAATGGCACATTAACAAAAACCATCAGTGTGTAACGGAATATATAATTTTGAAAAGTGTATGTATTATTTCCCTAACAAAAGGCAAAGAAATATTACATGAAAAATAATTGGTACACTTTCTGGTTCAATTACTTTTCGGCACCAGTTTAATTCAACTATTAAATTATAATATAAGTATAGCTAATTCAATTAGTTCTTGCATGTTATACGCATTGCTATATTTTTAAATTTTTTTGCTTTTAATTTCAAATTAAAAAAATAATTTTTTAATAAATATATTGTATAATGTGTTGAATCGAAAAATGTATTAATTAATTTCCTTTTTTGACATATCTCCTTAAAAGCATAATTAAATAAATTCAAAGTATTTTGTGAGGCAGTTGGCTTCTAAAACTAGGGAGGACCTAACAATTAGAAGGCTGCAAACAGGCAAAGGAAAATAGAGAATGGGTTTAATGCAAATTAGTCTGCCAGGTTTAGTTATAAAGGGAAAAGCTGATGTGCTTGTCTGAAGGAAAATGTCAACTTTTTGTGTATATAACATGGAGTTTAAGAGTAAAAAGATTGATGGACAAAAGTGTTTAGACAACATATAGGGTAGGTACATATATAGCAAGTTCCAAAGCCAACTTGCCCTCCACATTCCTCCACCTGCTAAATATATATAGAATTGAATTTACATATATATATATATATATGTATGTATGTAGTAGCTAAACTAATATGTGAAGCTTCAACATGCTAAGCATTAGTCCAGCTCCAAGTCCAAGGCTCCAACAATTAAAGTACACAATGAGATCTTTAGAGATTTAAAATTTAAATTTCTTTACTTACATAGTCATGGGCTTAAACCTTAATTAATTAAATTTGAAAGTTTGAATGATCAATTCATATAGGGTGACTCTAATAAAGTCATTGCATGGGACATGTAGCATACTTTAAATTTTTTTAAAAATGATTGGTACACATTCATTTTAACACATTTTTTAACACTCATCTAATTCAATTTTTAAAAATGTAATATAAATATAATTGATTCAGTCAGTTTATACATCTTGTATGCATGGTTATATCTTTAAATTTGTTTGTTTTTAATTTTAGATAAAGAATGTGTTTTATAATGTGTTGAACCAAAATATATATCAATTACTATCCAATACCAAAACACATAGCATAAAATAAAAGTGAAGGTCTTCACCACCACCTTAGATTTTGGGGTAGAATTGAAGCACATCCTAACCTTAGATCCAAGGTTTTATAGTTAGTTATAAATACTGACATGACCAAGCTTTATTATGGTAAATGTGATAAAA